CTCACTGATCCTGATCCGTCGGCGGGTCGAGCTTTGTGTTTACGTCTTTGTGCAGCAGCCGTGTTCCTGCTCTCAGTTACTGTTTTAGCTGTTTGGTGGTTGTTGAAATTTTGAGGTTTAACCTGAGATTCTGGTGTTTCAGGCAAAATAAATTTATATAAAAAAATCGATTCAGGATTTTAATGAATTGATTTCACGTTATCCAAGCCAGAATCGATTTTAATCGATGAATCGATTATTAAACCCAGCCCTCGTGTGCATGTCCTTCAGCCTCCTCGTTCCTCCTCTCATGTAGATACGTGCTGGCCTATAAAGGAAATACGAGGCAGCAGTGTGTGCAGAGCAGAGGACCTCGAGCGTCAGGCGCAAAGGTGGTTCATGTGGTTACAGCGTCCTGCAGCACCGTCCAGCTGCAGTCCCTGCTCAGCGCCAGACTCGTACCTCTATGCTCATCTGAAGACACTGAAATCCAGGTCAGCTCCACAGAAGCTGCGTGATCGTGTCAGCGAATCGAGACAGTTTGGATTGGATTGTTTTTTCTTCTGTTCTACCTGAACTCAAAGCGCTGTTTACAACATGCCTCACACCACAAGCACTTTTTTCTATCCTTCCTTCTTTCTAACGTTCACACTCCGATCGATGCATCAGAGAACAACTTGGGGTCAGTCCTTTGCTTAAAGTATTTGGCATGCAGACTGGAGCAGACGGGGATTGAACCACCAACCTTCCAGTTAGCAGCTGACATGCTGCTGAGCTACAGCCACCTCCACCTTAACCCCTCGCACTGACAGTAACACAGAAATGTGTACACTCATGCTCTCTTACACAGCAAACTGCTTTTACTGTTGTTCTCTTGTAACCAGGCGACTGTAAGCTGCTGATGCTGTCTGTCTAAAGTCTGTGTCGTGTACGTAGTTCCACAGAGAGCCGGGATCAGCCGTGGATTCGTGCTATCAGGGCGACTTGGTGATTGTTCTCCCAGGAATCTACAGCGTCAGCAGCTCCATCTTCATACCAGACTCCATCACCATAGAAGGTGGGACCCTCACGGCCACGCTTGTGTAGAAGTGATGCTAAACATACACGGAAACCAAAGACGTCTAGCTGATGCTGAACTGATTCAAATGTTTTATGCATGATCTTCCTCTTGAAGAGCTGTTTGGGTGTTTCATCAAATTAAGGAATACATGCAAGCTCGCCATGGTGGAAATGAAGGGGCCGCTATGCTTTAACGTTGGTTATAAGTTATTAACCTGGGAGCTTCACAGTGAACGCCATAGTTGTACGTAGACTGATCTGTGATGGTCACATCCAGCTACACCCCTCGAACACTGACACCATCAGCGGAGCTCCTCAGCTGCACCCAAACATACACTGGTGCTGTGATGTCATCACCTGTGATAGCACCTGTACATTAATACAAACATTATTATTGCTATAGCAACACCATGT